ACACCAAACTAACAACACACTCATCGAGATAAATGTAATGAGTTCTATGCCGAGCAGATTACGTGCAAGGGCCATCATCATCACAAACAACAACAACAACAGACATTAAAAACATTATTAATAATGTTGATGTTTGTTTGTGTGTCTTTATGTGTGTGTGTGTTTGTTTATATATATGTATATAAACATATATATATATGTGTGTGTTTGTGAGTGTGTGTGTGTGCATGCGTGTGTGTAGACGTGTGTGTATGTGTGTGTGTGTGTGTGTGTGTGTGTGTGTGTGTATGTTTGTGTGTAGAATGTGTACGTCTGTTTGTGTGTGTGTGTGTGTATGTTTGTGTGTAGACGTGTGTACGTCTGTTTGTGTGTGTGTGTGTGTGTGTGTGGGGGCGTGTTTGTTTGTGTGGCGTGTGGGCGTGTGTGTTTGTGTGGTGTGTGGCCAGGATCGACCCGATCCATCCGATTTCACGCTCCGACAAGGCACAGTCTTTGGAGGAAATGTAATAATATATTGAAATTTGTTTCACGCCATTTTCAGCCGTACACTACTACTACTAAATATAATAATAATGATAAAATTAATATTAACAATAATAGTAACAATAATAATAATTATTATTATTTTTTCCGTCCGAATAATATTTACATTTAGCAGTACCAATGTTGTTGTATCAAATGCAATTCTTAATTTGTTTCAAATTTATTATTATTATTATTTTTATTTAAATTAAATTTTTTCAACACCTCATTACTAAGCACCTGCTTGGAAGCATCATCATCATCGTCATCATCGTCGTCATCATCGTTATCATCATCATCATTTCTAAGAACTCATTTCCTTTTTGAATTAAAATCGTCTTCAAACTAATAAAAATAATATGAATAAAAATAGGCTAGAAAAATATTCACAATCACAATAATAATGAAAATATTAATGAAATAATAATAACAATAGAAATATGAATAATAATAATAATAATAATAATAATAATAATAATAATATTAATAATAATAGAAATAATAATAATAATAAAAGAAATAATATAGTAATGTGATACTAACATGAAAATAATTTCACTCGTACGTTGTGTCATATTCACTAAAGTAATTACTTAATATTATTCACATTTCTATTTAATTCTGTTTTTACTGTATACCTTATAACATTTTCATTAAATTAATTTAGGCTCAGGTAATAGCTATAAACCAACCAGGGGGTGGGCAGCAAACTACAGCTCGGGGGTCGCTTGTCGCCAGAAAAGTTCGTCAGCCAGACATTATGACCAAAAAGAGGAACCACAAATCTTAAAAAATTCTCTATCGGGTCGAGTCGAAAAAATTTGCTAAATTTGCTATTTAAGTACCTATGCGGCCCTTCAAAGGTCAAGTAGTTCTCAATGCGGCCCTCACGCAAAAGTTTGCCCACCCCTGCTTTAAACGGATGAAACAACATTGTCGACCAAAACCAAATGTCATTTGAAAAGAGAATTTTCACAAACTACCGTGCCGTAGAAAAAAATGTATGAAAAAGTTTTGGATATATGTATAGATATATATATATAAATAATAATAATAGTAATAATAATAATAATAATATTATTATTATTATTATTATTAAAACTAATAAACGACATGACATGACAAACGCTTAATCCTTCGCTAATTACATCGGCAAGACAGATCGGCATTAAATATACAACGAATTCTTCATCTGAAACAACATGAAATATCAATCAATCAATAATAACAATGATAATAATAATAATAATCTTTCATTGACCAAAAAGATTAAATAAAAATGAAATCAACCGAAAATTATTAATAATGTATAAGAGTGTAAATAAATAAAAGTAAATAATTTATAAAATTTTATAAAAAAAGAAAATCCATTAAAATGTACGATCCTTAAGCTCATTATCGTTGATAAGTGCATAAGAGTAGGCTAATAAAATATATTTGAATGGTATTATGCACTGTTTCGGTCA